CGTCGCGGCCATCACGCTCGTCCGAACCGCGGTCTTGCTTCTGGAACTTCAGCCTCTAAGTAGGTGCTCGCGCTATCGTTGCTTTCCAGACGCGCTCTCGCTCTCTGGGTGTGCCGCCCTGCAGCATTCACCATTTCCATGAAGGTCTCCACGTCGAAGCCCTGTGATCAGAAGCGCACAGCTTTGCGGACGCGGCTTCTCATGTCCTCGCTCGTTAACGCATTTTGGACCCGGCCTCTAGGTCCATGTCGCCAGAGTTGTCGTACTTTGCACGCTTGTTCTCGTCTGACAGCACCGTGAAGGCCTTCGTGAAATTCCGAGCCGAGCAATGGAGTGCCTCCGTGCCTCCACCTCGGCGACTTTCTGGAACTTGAGCTTGGCATCGGGGTCGTCCGGATTCTTGTCCGGGTGAAACCTCCACGAAGAAAGTCACGTGTGAGCGTTGCGCACGGCCATGCATAAGCACGCGGAGAGACAGAGGGGTTGCCTCAGAGACCGCTTGCGGTAGGCTCGCTTGATGTCATCGGCTTTCGCGCTGCGCGGGAGTCCGAGAATCCTTCCAAGAGTGCAAGCCGAAGCGAGCGCAGGAGAGGCGGAGAGGCAGGCAATGCAACAAGGCATGCGGCGTACACCTGTACAGGTCACTTTCCGCAAGCAGATCGATGTCTTCGCCCTCCGGATCCCGGGTACCGCTGCGGAACAGTCCTGCAAGGGAGGGATGAAAGCAGCACGCGCACGCACACACACACACACACACACACACACACACACACACACACGCACACACGCAGACCGTTCTGTAGGTTTCTTGGTTTAATGGTTGTCGGGAACGTGGCTCTTGCTCCTTCTCTTTGTCTCCTTGTTTTTTGATGATCTCTCAACTCAATCTTCTATAGTTAAGAAATACCCAAGAGACACAAGTGTTCTAGCAAGGAACAGCAACAAGTACAGCAATCGCACTTGTTTTCCTTGAGCCAAATGTTCAGTTGATAAGTCTTCGTTCTGTCCTAACTTGGTACTTGTAGTTACACTAGGAAACATGCCCAGGGAACGTGTTTTCTCAGCTCCCCCCTTTAGGACAAGTACGAACGCTTCTACGAGCCTGTACAGATGCTGATATGTACAACAGTTTACGGCTGCTTGAGCTTGAAGCCTAACGCTTGTAACAAGTGACCGTCATCAGGACTGATGTTGGTCGAGTCTCTGATTGTAAAGGCAACTGCAGTGAACCTAGGATTGCTGGTGGCAATAGACAAATGCCAACGCCTTGGATCGAACCTCGCAGGACTCTTAAGGAAGAATCCTCGTAAGCGAACACCTGGTGCTGGGCAAGGGGAGTCTCCTTTAGGATCCTCAACCCACAACAGCGGTTCTGTGCACGGCGTTAAACCCACAAGGAAATTCTTAGAGTCAGGTGCGTTGTGCGAATCCCTATGCATCGGTGTCATTACACCTTCTTGCACGATTACGGTAGTAAACGTGTGCGAGGGCATCAGTTGTCCAAAGAACCTAGTGATAACGGCAGTAGCTTTGGGAAACAATCTTGTCATATTCCTTACACCAACGATGCCACCATGTACGAAAGCACCTGATGCGAAGGAATGAACACCTTCTGCAGATTCAGCCCTTGCTGATTGCTCTTGCGGTAGGTAAGACAACCAACTGCACGAGATGCTGTTTGTTGATGCGCTGTGGCAGGCTGCCAGCAAACGCTTCAGCACGCGCTATTGCGTCTGCTAAGATGACGAGGGCTTTCTCCTCTTTGGGAACAAATTTAAGACCTAGTTGGACTAGCATGACTGGCCATTCACAGGGGTTTATTACCTTAGTAAGGCCGTCAGCTATCTGCTCTTTTGTGGGGCAGCACGTCGCAACTACTGAGTCGTTATCAATTTGCTCCGACATCGAGGCGATGTTGATGCGGTGCACTCTACCACAATGCCTCAACTTAGCGCTGTAACCGTTAGCAAGAATCGTAAGCAGGGTCTCGTTATCTTGATGGTATGTTGTCTTGCAACAATAACCCAACAAGTACTGCATGAAAGTCTGAATGTTTATCGCTTCTGAAAACATGGCAGTGCTCATGGCGATTGCCTCTGCCTCCGGCGTCCAGCGCGCTACGGAAGATTGCTTACGTGAGGACCAAAAGACAGGGAACCTTGACGCTCCTGTCTCAATGCAAACGAAGATACCAGACGTGGATTTGCTGGTGAAGGGACAGCTACCAAAATCTGCGTCAGTGTACACATGAAGACTCGGTTCTTCATTGTGACATACAGAGGCTGTTAAGCACAGGTCTACTGTGCCGTTAAGATAGCTTATTGCCCTAGACAAAACCTTATCTTCCCATCTGGTCCATCGCGTGACCTTGGTTGCAAGTCTTCCAGTAATGAAGTAAAGATCTGGCCTCGATAGTCGCGCCAGCCACAGCATCTTCATAAGAATGCGTGCGGCTACACCGCTAAGCTCTCCTTCTACAGCTAGATCCTCATCAGCGATACCAGCTTCCGAGAGACAAGGCGTAGGTACTTTACGCAACTTCGTTTGCTTTAAACCAGACAACTCCAAGTACAACTCAACGACCTGTTCGGCATAAGCGCACATGTTAAGAGTAACAGTTGTATGACTCGGACTGCGATGAATCGTGTGGTTTCTGCCCAGAACCCTGGCTCCATCTTCAATCTTGGTTTCTGGCTCAATCTTGATTAGTTTACGCAGTTGATCCCAGAATCTCTGGTGAAGATCAGCCTTCCCGGCAAGACTCAAATCATCAACGTAAATATTCAAGACTAAGAGCTCACCCTGAAACCAAAACAACCAATTAGAAGGATGTCCTGGGACCTCTTCGCCTCCTATCGACCGTAATTTCTCTGCAAGATGTTCTTGCCATAACTTTCCGGCAGGTGGATGCCCATAGAGGCTCCGCATCAGCTTTACGGCAATTTTGGCGTTCGGATCAAACTTTTCCTTCATCTCTGCGGTCCAGAGTTCGTACGGCAAAATAACCCACGTGTCTTCTTCGAGCTTTGCTTGAAGAAATGCTTGGATCGCATCACTAAAAGCAAGGGTTGAACCTTTTCTACACCCAAACCAAAACGTCAAGTTTAGCGACGTAAGCGCTGTGGGCGATGTCGCCGTGTCATCAAACAAGACGATGTTATGTGAAGCGTCCGTTAGATAATCTCCACGATACACGATTCTACCTTTCCACTTTTGTTGGTGCGGTTCCAACTCTATGTGCTTAACACCACACAAGGTAAGCAACTCTGCCACTTTAATCTTTCGATTCTGGGCTCTCGCTTGACTCCGAAGACTAGTCAGAAGGATAGCTGAGGAATCATCCCAGGTGTTGTTGGCCCTGAGTCCGTCAGCCTCCTTGTGTACTGCCTGTAAGCCCCTCGGGTCTTGCATCCAAACCTTTCGTGGCAAGTTTTGAGTCACCATACCATATGCACCTGTCATGTGCGGCACACTTTTGAATGCATGCGATGGAAAGAGAGCCTCTGCAACAACTTTGGCGAACTTGATCGGACTTGCATCCTCACATGCTTGATGTGCGTTGCTACAGTGCTCATGCGCATGGCTACCATCGCATTGGTACTGAGACAGGTACTGTGTGAGGTTCAGACTATTGGTCGAAACACACAGTGGACGATGCTTGGGATAGTGGTCACCCTCAAAACCGAGCATACACCCATCGAAGGATACACGCTTCAGGCAGCTGGCTGACTCAAAATCTCTCCAAAGCTTGTGATTCCACGCATACGCTATGATTGTCAAGACAGGTTTGCAACAGTGGCAATGTCTGACGCAGTGAATCTTCGATTACCTTGCGGTGTGCTTTATGCTTGCCTTTGTGACGTTCTACAAAGGATAAGTTAACCCAAAGGTCAGAACCCTTTAGATGTTGAAGCTGTCCCAAAACTTGATCAACATGATCTTTGTTTGTCGGGTCAACTACATCGGAGGATAACTTTATGCACTTAGCGCCTATATCGCTGACGGCTTGTGCAACCTTTGAATCCACATGGCCAGCATACTCTAACAGCACGTTCATGCCTGGCATTTCTGTTAATGTTGCAATGCGCCTCGCGTGATTCATCACGGAGTGCCGTTCAAGGAACTTCGTATCAATGTCATCAACAATCTTACCAACGGCACCTTGCTCAACATGTTCAGCACTCGCGGCCTCTTCATGTGACCCCCCTGGATCTGCATTCTCCGTGGCTCGGGAGCCAACTGGATCAGCTGGTGTTACAGGTGGTGTCTTAGGAGCTTTGGCAATTCTGTCGGCGCGAATCAATGCATTGAATCTAGCCCTACAAAGCGGCGTATGTTTTGTTGATTCGAATTCGCATCCTCGGCACCCCGGCGTGGCACCGAATTTGAAAACTCTATCCATGGTGATATACTCATTGTGCGTTCGTGGCGTAGTTACGCCATCAATTGCAGCAAACGGTATGTCTAAGGGTTGAATGTCATCTAGCTTTGGCTGGTCAAAGTTTGCTAACGCAGTTTCGGCAGCACGCTTCAAAGGAAGTTGTGGTGGCTGTTTGTCGTCAACCCAAACCTCCTCAGTAGGAACAGCTATGGGGATTGCATAACCGGGAGTGCGGTTCTTGATCTTCTGATAATCCAGAACAAACAACACCCCTTTAAAGCTCTTTGGGCCCGAATCGTATCTAAACTTGGATTCGTTGAAGGAGCTATCTTATCCCTCAACGTAGCGTCAACAATAATGCACGAGCTGTCCCAACAGAAGCTTGCGTCCAGTGAACTCCGTGCCAACTGCCAGGCAGTGGCGAGTCTGATCTCTGCCAGCAGCAATGTGCTTTGCAGATAACATTGTAGCCGCGTAGTCTACACTTAACGGCCATAAGTCCGGAACGACCTCGAAACCAGCACCTAAGTGCGTAGCTCTCGCGATCTCTTCAATGGTTCTGATGTCTCGCTCAAGCTGTGAATTGTGGGGAAAACGATTTTCAAGCGTACCCTCACGTATGAAGCCCAAACGCTTACATGCAGCCAGAATCTCAGCTGCTTGATCGGATTTGCACATGACGGTTGTTCGATCATCATATGCTGGGCCTAAGAACAACAGAAGGTGCCGTGAAACCGAATCCGTGTCCCTTTTTGCAATCGGATATGCTCTAATCCACCCTGAAAACTCATCGCGCACTACTTGGACTGCATTTTCTTTGCCGTCCTTAAGCTTTCTTACAATGATGAAGTCAGCGGCGATCCTTTCCCCAAATTGCGTCACCTCGGGCAGCATCCCTCGGTCAGCGAGTGGGTCCGCACGTTTCGATGTGACTCGCTTGCGATACATTCTACTCCCTTGGCATGTGGGGCATGCCGGGTTCTTTGGAAAATGGGACAATCTATGCTCAAGACTCTGCGCTTCTCTCACAAGCCTCCGATGCCTAGAAAGCCCATCCTCTTCGCTTGACTCTCTTTCTGAATCTGCCAACTCGCCATCACCTGGTGGCTTTGCCGGTGGCGGTAACGGTGGCGGCGGCAGTAGTTGATCGGAATCTTCTTCGGGAGCCTTTGGTTCCTCTACTTCTACGGTCGGATCGGGATCCCTAGATCCTGCGGCTGTTGAACTAGGGACTCCAGGATCATAGAAGATTTCACGTGATCCCGAATCAAAAGTGATTTGTTTTGAAGTCTTTGACGAACGGGCTGAGTCATGCATCAACTTC